AATATAATCCTTATTTTCAAATATTATCAAAAAAAATTTTATTTAAATATTTTAAATTTTAAAAAAAATAAATCATAGCAAATTTATAGCAATTTTCCAGGCAAATTTGCCTGGAATTGCTTACAGTTTAAGGGATAAAATCTAAAACCTGTCATTGGATGACTATCAGAAAGCGTCACATAGTATTCTTTGCGTTTTAAAAAATTATAAACTTCAACTTCAAAGTTTCTACCATTTGTATATCTTTCATCAAGTGATTTAATAGAATAATTTTCAATAGTACCATTGTATGATATAGTTATTTCACTCTTAGATTGCATTTTTTTTAATTTTAATTAAGAATAATAACAAATTTTTTAGTATATTTATATATATTTTTTTTATATAAAACTATATAAATTCTCATTAGAAACAGACTTATACACTATACTACAAGAGGTTAATTTAAATTTTATTTAGAATTCTATATGTGGAAGTTAGAAGTTTTTGTAAGAAAAATTATGAGTTTTTTTCTAAGACACTGTAATTTTTATATCATTTATAGAACACAAAATCTGTATAATTCGGACTTTTGACCGAATGGTTTATTAAATCACTTTTTGTTTATACAAAAAAATTACCAATAATAAATTTAAGTTAAAATATTTTCAATAAAATAAATATAAAAGCAGTATGACACAAAAAGGATTTTAAAATAGGATAAAGGCTGTGTAAATGATGTATAAAAATTTAAACCTTAATAACCTCTAGCTTTTTGCGTAATCCAAATCAAATCTAGTTGGTACTTGATAAATTAATCTTTCCTCACAAATTGCAAGAATACTTTGATTGATTTGTTTTAAATTATGACGTGTTAGATGTAATATATTTCTATCTCAATCATTTATGTCACAGTAATTGAATGTTTTGATAGCAAATCTCTATACTAATAATGATAAACCAATACAAATATTATAATTCTACCTAAATCACTGATGCCAACACAATAGTTGATAAATACACCAAAATTTTTTTATTGTGAACCTCTATATCAATTACAATTAATTCAATACAAAACTAAAATGTCTCTATCTAAATCACTTATACTATAGTAAGCAAATTTTTACAGAATTACTACACAAATCATGAAAATTCAATAAAAAACAATTATAACTCTATCCAAATTATTAATGCCAGCACAATAACTGGTACCAATTTTTTTTACAACAAATCTCTATACCAATCACGATTATTCAAGTATATATCTTTTTCTAAATCATTGAAGTCACCACAAAGTTGATAATTACAGTAATAGAATTTTTTACAGCCGATTACTATACAATTCAATAAACTAACATACATAACTCTATTTAAATCAAAATTCTGCCACATCTAATACAAAAACTTATTTTATCTAAATTATTTACACAACTACAATAGTTAGTAAGTACAGTAACCGCAAATATCCAAATTATTTACAAAAACACAATAGTTTGTAAATACAGTAACCGAACTTTTAATAGAAATCACTATTCAAATCATGATAAGTCAATTACAAAACCAACTTAACTCTATCTAAATCACATATATTGCTATATCAAGAATAGTAACCGAACTTTTTATAGCAAAACACTATACAAATCATGATTACTCCATTACACATATAAAGTAATAAAATAACTAGCTAAAATTTTGGGGTTAGCTTTACAATCACATTGTTAATATATGGACCTTAATTTAGGTCAATTCGACAAAAATCTGAAACTCCGCATAGACTAGTGATACATTGCTACTGTGATAAATTATAAAAATTCTTTATTATTTTTTAAATTTTAATATTTCATTTATTTAGTATAAAAATTAGTATTATATATTTAGTTATACTAGCAAAATTATCCAATTTAGTAATTATGAGAGATATAGAGTACATAATAATAACCATAATTAATTTATAATTGGCATTACCGTTACCGTTGTCTAATTTTGGATTAAAGATTTGTGCATATGATTTTGCACCTTACATAATGAAATATTCAATAATTATCTCTCACAATTATACTTGCTAGGTTTCATGTATATGACATGATATTATTGTTATATATGTAATCTATCTCTTAGTTTTAACACTTTCACAATATAAATACAAGATTTTTCAGTTGTATATCAGAATCCTGATATACAAAATCCTGACATACAAAATCCCGGCAACAAAATCTCAATACACAAAATCCTGACAAATTAAAATTCTAATTTTAATATCTTTAGAATTTTAATTGTCAGGATTTTGTTGCCATGTTGGGATTTTGTGTGTCAGGATTCTGATATACAACCGATATTTTCAATTAAATATGAATTACATCAATTTAAAGGAAATTTTTTTACATCCAATCTATACTATAATCGATTTTGATTGGCTAATTTTGATGCAATTGATTCTGATTGGTTAAATAAATTTATTTTTTTAATATTAAATGCCAATTTTTTTTTAAATAATTATAAACTTTAACTCTGATATAAAATTAAAGTGTTTCTTATTTTAATATAAACAATTTTATCAATTTATAAATTGAAAAAAATCAACAGATTTTTAGTTTATAAAATCAAAGAATTAACTCAACAATTCAAATATAATATTGAATTCAATTCAATTGATAATTTTCTCAGTTACAAATTGATTCTACTGAGATACAAATAATGAATGCCAGTATTATAAGTATAATGTTATGAGTAATTCAATTTACAAAGTTTTTTTTTTATTGCTTACTTGTGTTGTGATAAAAAATATAAATACTGAATAACTTAATATTTATCATTTTTCAAGTACAATAGGGTTGTGAATTTCAAACTACAATTAACTAATATTTTTAGAGTACACAATTATATATTTTTGTGATTAATTCTTTTTATAAATCTTCTTATAAAGAAACAATGTTACAAAATGCAAAATATTAGTTGGCAAACACTTTGAAAAAATGTTTGATTGATTATAATCATAGTTAAGTAATTATGCAATATTAATAGTTCAATTTTAGAAATCAATACGGATTATAAAATCTTTATTTTTTCAAATTTAAGTAAAATAGAGAAGAAATACTTGTAGAAAGTATAAATATAAATAATTAGGAATTATTAAAAAATAAAGAATAAAAAAAAATAACAATATAACTTTAAACCCAGATACTTCTTCATCATCAATTGCTAATTTTATTTCTCTAATTTGATTATTTGAAAGATATGAAGTATTATTTCGATAAGTATTTGAAGGTGTAATTATTGTCATTTGTTTAATTTTATTCCTATAGTGGTTTCATGATTTTTGACAAGAGCTTTTTCTAATAACTTTATTTTCTCATTATCATGTTAATCAGTAAAAATATCCAAAGAGATTAAAGTGCTGTTATTGAAAGTGCATTTTCTAATACTTGTACTTCATTATCACCAAATTGATTATAATACAAAAGATTCAAATATGTTAAAGCTTTGTTTTTACAAAGAGAATACACTATTTCTTTTATTTCCTTAAAGACAATTTGATTTGACGAAAGATTCAAAGCAGCTAAAGTGCTATTTTTTGCAAAGTGCATTTGCTAAAACTCTTCCTCCCTCAGTACCAAGTTTACAATGACTAAGATTTAAAGAAATCAAAGTGGTGTTTCTGAGAAGAGCATATTCTAACTTCTTCCTACCTTCAAAACCAAGCTCATTATATGAAAGATTCAAAGAAGTTAATGCGTTATTTTTGCAAAGAGCTTGTACTAATACATTTATTCTATTATAACTAAGTTTATTATTTTTAAGATCCAAGAATATTAAAGTGCTATTATAGTGGAGAGCATCCGCTAAATGCTTTCTCACAATCAAAACCAATCCAATTGGATAAAATAATTAAAGAAGTTAAAGAAGTATTTTTATAAAGAGAATTTGCAAACTTTTTCCAAAACCAGGACCGAGATTATTAAAATGAAGATTTAAAGAAGTTAAAGTGTTGTTTTTATAAAGAGCTTCTGCTATTACTTTTTTACTCTTAGTATCAAGTTGATAAAGATTATCAAATCCATTTAAATCTAATTCTTTAAGCTTAAATTTTCGTAGGAATATTATAATCAAAAAATTTGAAATATTAAATTTAAGAAAAGTGTGGTCTTCAAATCCTTCATCTTTAAGCCAATTTTCTGTACCATTATTTAAATCAAAAACTGAAATTTTTTTGATATAATTTAAATATTTAAAAAGTGATGTTGAATATGTATCACCTCCAGCAAAATTTCGAAGAACGAAGAATTAGCCGTATTCACATAATTGAGAAATGTAGTGCAGCACTGCTTCATGTAAGCAAATCAGTTATTGCGCAATTAACAGACTAGTCATATGAAGCGGTGCTGCATTACATTTCATGATTACGTGAACATGGCTAATTCCTCGTCCTTCAAAATTTTGCCAGAAGTGATACCTATTCTATATTTATTTTATTTAAAAAAAAGATTACTTATTTTTGTACAAATTTTAGTTAAAATTAGAAAAGAATATTTCCTTGTAATATGTAACATAAAAAGATTTTTTTCATGAGTTTATTATAAAATTTACACGTCTAAAAAAATAAAGTGCCAATTTTTGATTAATCAAGTATAATTTTTATTATTGTTTTGTAAATCGACTTTTTATATATTTCACGTTTGAAGAAACATTTCTTTAATAATATTTTATTATGTAATGACAAATTAAATTAAATATAACTACATAAATCAACAATAATGCTAGAATATTTATAATGCCAAATGTCGAATCAAATTTAAATGTTATATAAATGAATACAGGGTATATCATTAAAATTAGAATATAACACCCCGGAAAAATACAAAAGAAGTAAAATAAATGACAAATGAAACGAAAAGACATTTGTAACCAAAAAACATGAATGTGCAATTAAATATACTATATAATAAAAGGAAAAGTATAAATTTTGATAAGATATGAAACATAATAGCTAGAAATAATATAATAAAAATCAAAAAAATCAAAAAAAATAAAGAATTGGACTGAAAACCTTAGTATATACTTTTAATAAAATAGGTAAAGCCATATATGTGAAAAATACCACATATATGTAAAGTAAAAAAATAGAAGATCCTACAAAAAAGAAAAGCAACAAAATTTAATTATATAGTTTACTAGATTTTTACGTAATGATTTACCTGAAGGTCTGAATATCATTTTAGCAAGAGAATATATCATATCCAATATATTCGATAGAGATTTTAAATTGTTTGTTATTGTGTCGAAATTTTCGTGAGTATCAAGTTCTTGTCTTGCAATATTAATGTAAATTTCTTCCTCATTTATT